AAGTATCATCAGTAAAAGTCCCCCTTTGCAAATTAGCAGTGGAAAAATTGTTTTGGCTATTATTGCATAGAAATAAACAGAGCAAGTTCAAAACTAATGCAAAGCACCGGTGCTATAGAGCTTATTTATTTCCTTAGAGATCCTCCCTGCCTCAAAGCTTTCAGATGCAGCTAAATTTACAGAAAAACACTCTCAGCACCAGGGACAATAGGAAAGGGGTTTGTTTCTACAGTTACTGTTAAGTCCAGGATCTTCACTGACGTCCATAGTCACTAAAGTAGTGTATGAATTTGCATTTGTAGCTAATTCTAATAACTGTTTTAGAGTTAAATCTCAAGAGTACAGAGATATGGAGGTGTTCTGACTTATTTTACAATTAAGTAAAGGGGTTTTTGTGAGTTGGTTGGGTTTTTAAATGCCTTTGGAACCACAGACTGTCAAACTGCACTAAGTGTGAAGTGCAAATGGGTAGATGCCTTTTGAGGGGGTCCAAATAGAAGAAGAGTGTCTTAAATATATGTAAATTTGATTACAACAGTAAATATTTACTACTATAGCACCTAAACAGTAAAAATAATAAAGAGGAGGAGAGGCAGTACAATTTTATATTTTGTTGGAACAACAGGGAAAGAGTGTGAGGAAAGAGGAATTAAACTGGGATTCATAGAAAATTGCCTCCTTCATTTCACTTTTTATAGGGAGCATTAGTAAAATCTTGTGCTGTACTGATGCACTTTCAGTGTCCCCTCCCCTGAGCTTTGCCAGCTGACACCAGATAGAGCTGATGTAATTTGCTCTTTCCTCATGCTGTAACCTTTAAGTTAGTGTGAGTGTGTGTTTCTCACCGTTTAAGTCTGAGGGGTAGAAAATAACTCCTGCTATTAGAACAGGTTGCGAGCTTTGATTTGGAGTCTGTAGCTGAAGAAGAGGGGAGCAGAAGGATGATGATGAAGAGGCCTGGGCTGCTTTGCTACAGGCTTTCTGTGCCACTGAGCAAATCACTTAATCTCCCTGTACCTGTTCCCTAGCCATACGCAGGAATAATAGTTTTTCCTTAGCTTATTGCAGTGTTGTTAAGATAAAGACTTTGAAGGGATTAGGTCCTGTAGCTGGAGGCTTTAAAAAGTACTTTGGATGAATAAAACAAGTTGCTGAAAGCAGCTATCGAGGTCCCAATGTAAACTGTACCAAAGTCACAGTGGTGACCTGGCATCCTCCTGGTATTCACAATGTGCATCTCCCTTCCCTAGCCTGACTAACACAAAAGATTTCTCACACATATGAACAAAAATGGAAGTATGTGTCAGGCAGCTTCCCAAAACATTCGATACAGTCATCCTTAATGTTCTTTCAGCCAGTGCTGAAATGGAAAACAGTAACCCTGCATATCTCCAGTTCTCTCTTAGAATTGCAGCTCACTTGAACCATTAGAACTAAATAGCAAATTGCTTCCAAAATGTCCAGGTGAGATGAGAAATCTCTTAGTTATGATTTTGACCTACCAGTTTCAGAAGAACTGGTCAGCTGAGACCGTTTTACTGAATCACTAGGACAGTCCCCAGATGTTTCTTCCTAGTAAGCTGCACACATACACATCTCCAGCACCTGCTTTCCATCCGTCAGATTGCTCTCGTGCCAACTGAAGCAAAAGCTGTACGGTGGGGAGTGGGGATGTAACTAATGTTGTATAAAGAACGACCTAACTGCTGAGGCTGTGAGCATGTGGTACAGTTGTCCTGGAGTAAGTTACTCGTCACTCTCCCAGACTGTACCCCAGTGCTCTGACGTCACAGAGCGGTTGCCATTTAAGAGTATTTGCTAGGGATTTATACCCTTTCCCACCAACAGTAATAGAGCTTTGTTCCCCCTTCAAAATTAATTTGACTGTTCTTTGGAGTAAAGATTCTTAACATCAATGGTAATGTGTACTTTTTAAAATTATTTTTAGGAAAAGGAAAAAAAGTCTGATGGCTAGGGGCCCAGTGATGGAGCTTTTATATGGATTTTGCATTCTTTTGTAGCTCCTGTAAATCATGCTGGGCCATGAGAAATTGGACTTTAAAGTTGTGATGCTTCATGTGTTTCAGAAGAAAATCTTTCTAATGTAGTACTTAGGTTCTGCATGAATTTCTTTGAATGACATTTCTGAGAAATTATAAGATGATATGACACAGTACAGAGACAATAATAGAAGAATTATGCAAATACAGGTTGGACTTTCATTCTAGCATTTTTGCACTAAGATACCCAAGGGAATGTTGGTGCTTTCTAGTCATGTAGGCCTCCAATTCCCTTCTTTGCTAGAAAATTTAGTTTTAAAGACCAACTCTTAATGGATGCCTTGTGGGACTGGAGCCACATTAGCTCACAGAGGTAATGCTTTCTGCTGCTGCCCAGCCAGGATGATTTCTACAGAGCTCACTGGTAGGGCTGAGCCAGAAGCATGGAGACCCCTCTGTCCTTCCTGAAGGCTGGGAGGAGAGGTGACACAAGTATCTCTGCTTGTTTTGTCTGATTTGGATATTACATGCTGCCTAATGATGAGTGAGGGCTCATGTCTTGTTAACCTGAAAGAGCTGCTGGTGGCATTAAAGCCACGGACTGACTTCCTAAAGCCTGTCTGGGAACCCGTGCTGTGCTCTCTGTAGCAGGTGCTTCATCTCTTCTGGTGAGCACTCTTCGACTTGTAGCAGCTCATTGTTCTGACCCACCAGGCCGTGGGTGAGGCAGGTGCTGTTACGGTGTAAGGAGAGCACAGCTCCAGAGACAAAAGGTTTGGAGAGAGTAGCTCTGCACTGCAGGCAGCACCCAGCTCTGGTTACTCTTTTATTAGATTTTATGTAATTAATTAAGATGGGCATGTTAATTACAAGCTTTCTATACCTTAGTATAAATATTGCCATCTCTCTTTGGTAGTGACTCCTGCTGGATGGTCAGAGCACCTGTAAAAATACCCATTCTTCCCATCCAGTCCTCCCTTATACAGGGAACAGAGAAGTCCCAGGAAATACAACTGGAACCAAATTAGAGGGCAGCAAGGATGCTGGAAGAGAGCAAACTGGGAAATGTCTACTTTATGCCAGATCATTTTGAGGACAGCATGGGAGGTGCAAAAAAAAGATGGAAAGGTTAGCACTAAACTTTTGAGTTATTACATAGGTTTGAACAAGAACAGCACTGCACCTATAAGCTATGCTTACTAGTGAAAATATGCGGCCAGGAAAAACACTTCTCAGATGCTTCCTTTTTGTAGTCTCTGGATGCTAACAGTACATAGCTCAGGAGGGGAGCTCTGTTAACATTTGTAGTAATTAAGAGTGTGAGACAATGTTTCCACAGAAAAAAAATTCTGCTTGTGTTGATTGGGAAAAAGCCTACTTACTTCCTTGACTGCAAAGAAATTTTACAATTTCAATTTTAGCTCTGTTATTGTACCAGGAACTCCCTTTGAAGTTGTTAATGCTCCAGAGAGATCTTGTTTTGCATTATTTGAGTCTGATATGCATTATAGTCAGATTTTGATCCTTTGTGACAACAGCATAAACTCAGAATAAATCCTGTTGGGAACCTGGCGCATGGCCTTTCAGTGGAGTAATTCCATTGCAGGTGGCAGCAGCATCTGGTCTTTTATGTTTTTAATAGTGGCTGTGAAGTCCTCAAAGGATGAGCAATTTGTGTACAGCTCAAGTTATTTTCTTTCAACTAAAGCTTAATAACGACGTTCTCACCCACGGTTAAAAAAGGATACAGCAGTGCTCTGGGTCTGCAAACAGCTGCTCCATCACTGGGAGTCTGTGAGGGTCAGTGTTCTCTGTAGGGAACTCAGCAATACTGTCAAACTGAATTTTGCAGCTTAAGGTACCTTTGGGGAGCTAACTTCAGTACCCCTAGGCGCTTTGGCAGTGTATTAATGCAGCCGTAATTCCAGCAGCATTAATCAGACTCCAGGATGTAAAAGGGAATGATTCACAGAAAAACACTGTGTTCTCTCGGTCTGGCACTGTGGGAAGGCATTGGTAATGCATGAGTGGGATTAGTGATATTTTTCAGTTCGCATGCTTAGGGATTTCCTCTCCAGCTTCAGGACCTTATTTCTCTGCAGGAAGAAGTGACAGGGTCCCTTGAAAGGAAAGGAAAGGTTTCACAGGTTACAGCGGGGGTGTGAAGAACAACTGGCTGAGTTTGAGGGACCCTGTTCAGGCCGGCAGGGTGATGGTCTGCAGAAGCTCGTGCACTGGATCTGTTGCTGGATTTTAAGGGACTTCTGTTTTGTCTTTTGTTTTAGAGCAAGCTGGGAAAAGCCAGTGTTGATGCTTAAGAAAAGAGCTGATGTGCAGGAGATCACCTCCTGCAAATACTCATCCAGGGTCCGTGGCAGATGTTCAGGCCTGCCAGCTGCTCTGGTGGGTCAGTTGGTGACCACTGGTGGGGTGGTTAAGCGATGCTGAATGCCTGAGATGACTAACCCCATGCTGTGTGCAATTCTCACCCCCACTTCCTCCTCCATTTCTTTCCCCTCTTCCTTTTGTTTATTTTTATTTGGTTAGCTTCCAGCCAAACACTGAGGAGAAGGGGACAGTGTCACTCAGCACACTGAGGAGGAAGACAGGATTGCAGCCCTGGCTTTTATAGCATCAACACAAAATATCTGGAGCAGAGTCTGTTCCCTTAGTGGGACATAAACTCTGCCCTGCTAGTCAGGCCTGTGATCAGTTTAGCCATTGGCCTAACTTAGGGTAATCTGAATTGCTTGCTGTTTAAAAAGGCAGCAAGGGAGGGGAAGAGTGTGATACAGTCCTATCAAGAAATAGTGTGAAAACTAATTATAGCATAGGAGGGAATGGGACACTAGGGTTGTGATCCAGGAATGGAAGATGCGGGCTGTGAGACAGTGGAAAACTCCTTTTAAGAGAAAAGTACTTTTGACTTGTTCCAGAAAAGGGGTAGTGATCAAATGAGATGTTTTCAGTCACTTTTTACATTGTCTGGTTTTGACCTAGGTCTGCTCCAGCTCCTACCCAAGGTCCCACCAGTGCTGGGGCTGCAGGGCCACTTCCAGCTACCAATGTGTCAAGCAACAAACGGATGCAGCAGACACAAGCCCGGGTGGATGAGGTAAGTGGGTCTACGTGATCTGTTGCTCACCACAAGGGTGCTGATGTGTTTGTTGTTTGTTTTTTGCTTTAAGACGCATTCCTCCCTAGTGATCCAGCAACTCCTGCTCATCTGAAGGCAGTATCTAGATAATAATTACCAAAGGATGGCATTTATGAAGAGACAGACAGTACAAGAGAAATTCTGAGTATGAACATCCTTGTACCAGTTACGCTTCTGTGGAATAAATGTGGGCACTGGTGCCAGTTCAGGAATTCATCCCTGTCAGTCAGGTTAGGAGGAAATGTCATAGTGGAACCAGCTCTTTTAACATGTTCTGTGTTCCTAAAGGCTAGATGCTAATCTCACAGGCTGTTTCACAGGGACAGACCATCAGCTTCTCCTAGATAGATTCAAGCCATGAGAATTGTACAGCTGAGAGCTGTGTTCATAAGCCAGAGCTCTACTGATTAATCATCACAACTGATCTGCAAAGAAAGGCACCCACACATGATGTCATAACAGCACCTTCAACAAATCCCCACTCCTTTTGTTGGAGGACCACATGCCTGTTCCAGCTTGGATCCTTAAATTCTTGTAGCATACAGACTACCCCGCCACCTCGGCTGTGGTGCCGGTGTCCATCTAACTGCTGTGATAATGGGAATAAGCAAGCATACCCCTACTTGTGGGTGAAGTCCCTGAGCGTACCAGCAGTACAGTAGCAGCTGTAGCATCCTTGCACACCTGCCGTGCAGATTTGTGTGCTGGGTATTAAGTATAGAGTTTTACTAAACCCCTCCAAAGACTTAAGTAACTAATTGCTTACTGTCCACAGGGAAGTGGCCAGGGCTTGTGTGATTCTTTAATCCAAATTCAATAAAATACACATGATAAAATAGCTATTAACATGCATAAAGACCTCTATTTTAAACAGCTCCAGGTATGCTTTAAAAATAGTAGAGAAGACCTCACAGCATCTATCTCAAATGCATTTCTTAAGATGAATTAAATACACCTGTCAAACTGAGCTCTGCTTTTTCTTTGCTGAAGATCTGAAATGGAGTCTTTCTGGCCTTGCCATTGCTGATGCTCGGAGCTGATCACAAGAACATCCTCTGGCTGCAGAAGTGTCTGGAGAAATTTATAGGCCAGGTTCTCTCATTATCACACATTGCACTAACTTCACTGATGTTAGCAGAGTGTCTCTTGCAGTAGGAAAGGGAATATTACATTTCAGCTTTCTTCTTGGGTCAGAACAATGAAATAAACTTCTTGTCCTGAACATATTACATCATTATGGTGCTATAATTGTTTATGTGAGCTACAGCAAAAGTAATTGTCCCTAGAAGGTGAAAAATAATTGCTAGTTATTGTCTAAAACAAGTGATATACGTCAGATACATAGGGCTCTTCAAGCAGATCAATGGAGAAGCTAGTGAACCCCCGCTTTGTGTTTAAGATACTCTGGATTCTGAGACTTTTCACACAAACCCATGCAAGATTGTGTTATGAAGCATGATGGCATAATTTTGGCAAGAACTCTTACCCAGTATGAGTGGAGAGTGAGTAGCTCTTGGATTTGAGGATTAGACGGGTGATAATGAGGATTCATGGGTTTTTTGCCTCCCGTTTGAGAGGGAGGCTGAGTCTGGTATGGGTTTTGAGTGGATAGAACATGGTCAGCAGATCCTTGTTTAACAGGGATATCACAGTATAAGAATAGCCAAGGGAGAAAAATGCCACAGTGCTTTCAGTACCGTGAAGTCACTAGGTTGAAACTGGTTTATATCACCTAAGGATCTGATCTGTTAAGCCTTGCTTTGACCTTCCTACTAGATCTTTTTTTCTTTCATGTCTTGTGGGAATATAATCTGTAGGTGGCACCAAACACCACAGCTCAGCACTACAGTCCTCTGGCTATTCTGTTCCAAGTGCTGCTCTGCACAGCACTTCTGACTCAAGCCCAAAACTCAGCAACACAATCATGTCTTTGCGTGAGAGACAATTTTTGGTCTTAGTAAAATAACTGACATTTTAAATGCTATCTCAATGCTGATACAGTATTTCAGCTATATCCATGTTGGATTTTCCCATCTGATTTCTCTAGGCATCCTAGAACTTATTTTCTAAGGCCCAGGTCTAGGTTTTAGTCTATACAAACATTCATTTATTTGACAAAAATGCATCATCTGGACAGGTGTTCACTGCAGTCAGATTAAATTCAATAAACACTTCTGGGGAAAAAAAATGGTTAGGAAATGTTACAGTATTTTGTTTCAGCATTTTCAAATAGTTTAAAATTTTCACTACAAAACACTGTTCTGAGACTAAATATTAGCTAAATATCAGCTAAATATTAGCTAAGAAATTAATCATAGAACCATAGAACAGTTTGGGTGGGAAGGGACCTTAAAGATCCTCCAGTCCCACCCCCTGCCATGGGCAGGGACACCTTCCACTAGCCCAGGTTGCCCAAAGCCCCGTCCAACCTGGCCTTGAACACTGCCAGGGAGGGGGCAGCCACAGCTCCTCTGGGCAACCTGTGCCAGGGCACCACCACCCTCACAGGGAAGAATTTCTTCCTTAGATCTAATCTAAATGTACCCTTTTTCAGTTTAAAACCATTACCTCTCATCCTATCCCTACATCCCCTGATCAAGAGCCCCTCCCCATCTTTCCTGTAGCCCCTTTAAGTACTGGAAGGCCACCAGAAGGTTTCCCTGGAGCCTTCTCTTCTCCAGGCTGAACACCCCCAACTCTCTCAGCCTGTCCTCAGAGGGGAGCTGCTCCAGCTCCTGATCATTTGGGTTTTTGCAGGTAATAATATTAAATATAAACAACAATGACTTATTACAGAATATGAGAATACCCCAGCAACCATATTCACTGCTAGAGTAAGTGCACACTACTGAGATTGGTGTACTGTCTAACAGTTATGTTAGTGAGGAATTTGTATGGGATTTGCTGGAAGAGGATTTTTGTCTCATTCAGTGTATAAAATATATGCATGGATGGGCCTTACCTGTTGTGTACTGGCTGTGCATGCTTTTTTCGCTGAGGCTGTGCAATGAGGTGGCATGAGCTTCCTGTTACAGTTCAGACTGAATTTTCTCAGGAAAAAATTTTCTCCTCCATTTTCAAGCGGGACTTCAAATTATGGGTGGGAAGTCATCTTGTCCTAGAAAGATCTGCACAGTGAGTAACATACAGTTCCCTTTAGAATTGCCTTTATCTAGCCAATTTCTCTACTTCAGGTAAGGAAGTTATATTAAATATATAAGGAAAGTAATGGCTTGGTCTTAGTAATGACTGGACAAAAGTGAACCAAACTGTAGTATAGTGGTACTGGTTTCCATCCGTTTTTTGTGAAGTACCTAGTTGTACACTAAAAGAAGTCAAAAGCTTTAATGAAACTAATTACAGTATTTCATAATGTCCCTTTATTTTTCACCTTTAAGGGCTTCTGAGCAGAGTATAGTTATGTGTATCTTGTTCTCACTGTTTCTGAGGCACTGTCCAGGTAATTGCCATCGCATACCATAATGGCAAATGACTGGTTTCAGTATGATATGTGACACTCCACAGTGTGAACATGGAGGTGACCTTTTGCTTTACTGTGTGTGGAATGTAACGTGAGGCTGTGCCTTTGCAGGTGGTAGACATCATGAGAATGAACGTGGACAAGGTGCTAGAAAGAGACCAGAAACTATCAGAGCTTGACAACCGGGCAGATGCATTGCAAGCAGGTGCCTCACAGTTTGAAACCAGTGCAGCCAAACTGAAGAGAAAATACTGGTGGAAAAATTGCAAGGTAAGGAATATAAATTCTTGTTGAGAATCATTTCATGGCAGACATTACTTTCACTTGCATTTAATGGCACTTTGCTTGCAGGATGGCATCTCTAAGTGGTCTCTTCTTGGCAAGGGGAGGAGGAGATGCCTTGCCCTCTAGGCTCCAGGATAATAAGTCAAGCAACTTTGATCTTTAATAGAACCTATTCTTTAGATAATTTCTGCTGCATAAAAAATGTAGACACAAATTTTGATGCTTCAGTTAGTGCCTGCAGATAGGGATGGGAGAACATTCCATGTTAATTCATGCCAGTTCCCTGTATGAACCACAAAACCTGAACAGGTGTAGTGAATTCTAGTAGTCGGAGAAAATAAGCTTTTTCCCCATGGGAGATCATCAGCATCTTGATCTTTCTTTAGGATGGTAAACTAACGAAAAAATACTTGGTTCCACAAACTGCTATGAGAAGTGAGGAAATGACAGTCTCTTTAAAAAAGAGGGGCAGATTAGGATAGAGCAGGACTTTAATCAGCCAGCTCTCTCCTCTGCTGTTTTCAAAGTCTCATCCTTTCCCATGAGCAGAGGGAACCTCACTTTCCTTTGCTTTTTCAGACCTTCTCCAGAATTTGTGTTTTCTGGACCCAGAAACTTCAGCTCCTCTTATTCATATAAGACCCCATATCCTTGCTTCTTTCTACGCATGCACCACTAACATGAATGCTATACCAAAAGTTCAGCCTCATTCCCATTTCTCTTCAGTACCATCTTTGCTGCTGACCATTCATGTCGACCCAAATAAAACCACCTGTTCCCAAGGGAGAATCCCACATGTATCTCTCACCAGTCTGTTGCTTGCTTTGTCTCTTCAGTCCACAGTGCTATGAAATGTAAAGCAAAGCACAATATTCTGTGTAAATTACACACACAAACACTCCAGAAATAAGTGGATCTAGGTTAGAAATTCAACTGAGCAGTTCCTTTGGGCCTCTTCTAGCTGTTGCCCAGTTGCTTTGCCTGACAGTGCAGGAAGCAGGGCTTTTGGGAGCTACAGACACAGATTTTGTTAGGTTCACCCATGCTGACTGCAGTCACCACAGTGAGCTACACTACACTAGACCTTCAAACCTACCCTCTCCTCGTTGTCCCTTCCTGCTTTACCCTGAGAAACAGAGTCCCCCTGTCCTTCCTCTGGCTCCCAGACTCTGGAAGGAGGGGGGAAAATAAATAAGTTTACAAGCCAATGGCTAGCTTCATCCTCCAGACATATGTCTAGAGGAATGAAGGCCTTGGTTTGACATGTCCATGTTTGTTGTTTTTTAGTCTTTCCATTTTCATTGGAGTGATGATGGGAATTGGACTGCAGCATCTCTGGTGGCCTTACTAGCATTCAGCAAGTCTCATTTAGGGACCTCTGCCCCACACAACTCAGTGCTGGTATGGTCTGTGCACAACTGTATCTGGTATCTGATGTATCTGTTCCTGTGGGAACAGACTTCAACATTGCAATGAGCTATTTCCAGGCTAACATGCTGGAAACCATGCTGCCTAGCACGGGCTACCTCTCTCAATAGCATAAGTACACAAAGCCAGCACAAATACCTGCTAGGCATTAAACATCTCCAGCTGCCTCTTCCCTGACTGTGGGAACATGGTGAAAAGTGGTCAAGTTACTCTGGTATAAAGTTGTATATGGCCATGTGTGAATCCAGCCACTTAAAGCACCTCTGGAGTTTTACGTTGGAAGTTTACTTTTTTCTTTAGTGTTGGAAATGGATAAAGTTGGTCACTGCATCTTAGCTGATGGGTAAGAGTGTTCCAGCTTTGACAAGAGGCTATGTCCATTGCTGGTGGTTAGCTGTTCCTAAAATTGGCACTAAATTTGGGGTCTTAACAAGTCTGTTACAGTGAGTCTTTGCAAGAATTAAAAGTGCAGTGAATGAGCCACCAAGTAAAAGCAAAAAACCTGAGGTGTTACTGTCTTTCATGTGAAAACCTGACGTTCTGTTTTTTTTCTCATAACTCTCTTTTTATAGATGATGATCATCCTTGGTGTAGTATGCGCAGTCATTCTCATTATAATTATAAGTGAGTAATGCATTTTCTCTTTCATTTATGATCTCAGTAGCTCTGTGACTTACAAAGTGCTGATATATTAAAGAACAAAACAAAACATCGGTATAAAATATTTAAACTGATTAATCTGTGAAATTCCCCTTCTAGTGTCATGCTGTTATAGTGAGAATTACTGCAAACTCTCTGGACACTTATGTAGGTAGAATTTGTTGACATTTAATGTATTTTACATTGGTATGTTACATAACTTTCTCTAGGATTAGAGATTCTCCCTTTTCATGTTTATATAAATTTTTATGCAGTCTCAGGTATCTTCCTTTCATAACAACCAGTGCCCAGTCCTGGTGTCTTCTAGTGTATATTCAGTAATGCTTGAACTGCCTCATGCCTGTAAAGAGAGGGTGAAGGTCCACAAGCAAAGGGCATCTGATGAATTTTTTAAAAGCAATTAGATGCCTAGTTCCCACCAAATCAGCTGGAATTTGAGATGTTGGTGCTTTTGAAAATCACTTTGCATCTTAGATACCAAAATATTGTTAAAAGATGGCCCAAAGTCTTACTGATTTCTTGTTTTGAAAGATCATCTCATTCATAATGTTTGTTATAGGAAAGAGAGCATATAAATGAATAATAGCAGTCGTGCTGGTTAGGAGCCAGGGATCTTGTAATGACAGGAACTGAACATTTCATTTATGTAACCTCTGTGTTAGCAACAGCCGTTATGTGACATAACTGTAATATGTCATTAATTCCTAAAAGGGAGATTTCTTGAGTTAGACAATCCAGCTAGTAGCCCAGAAGAGATCCACCTGGAGACTAGACTGTGGATGGAAATTAATTCCCATCTCTCAAATTACATGCCTTGTATTCAGCATGTTTCCATTTTCCTCTGTTGCTTCTGTAAAGAAGGCTTACAGAATCACCTGTAAATAGGACTAAATGGATTGAGATACATGTGGCAGTTTATAAGTCTTATGAATGCTGGCAGCAGAGCAACCCAGAATAATTCTAGGGTTTCGTAACACTGATATGGCAAGAACTGGAATTGGCTAGATATTAATTAACTATATTAACAGGGTACTCAAGGCAACTGGCTTCAAGGGAAAGAAAGACAGGCCTTTGTTCTGCAGTCCAGTGCAGCAACCTGGGAAGATATATGTGCAGCCATTGAACTAACTGCTGTGTATATAGGCATCACTGAGCATTTGTGTATCTTAACAATAAAGTAAAAAGCAGACAAGATAGCTCAAAATTTCTCCTTTGAAGTTAAGGATGAAATGATATATAAGTTATAATGTTGTTTCCCTTCTGGTTTTAAATGTTGGATGCCTGTCCTGTTAAGCTTAGAAACATACAGCAGGTTTGACATGGCTTAGGTTGGGTTTAGGATATTTAATCACAAACTTGAGTATCACATCATCAAACCCAGGTCTTGGTTCACTGTAGTGAGATCTAGTGCAATTTTAGTGAGTATTTAACTTCTAAATTATTTTTCAGTCTATTTGATCCTTCTCTAATAGTGCCTAAGGGTTGCAGCTTCAGGAGGGACCGTGTGTATTGAACTCAATGATGTCTTTATTTATAGTAGCTCTCAAGTATATGTTTAACTCCTGTTGACATCAAGTGTACAAGTGCTGGCACAGACAAGGCCTGCATGGCTTCTTCAGTCACTGATTTGAATGGAAACCAGATCATACCCTCCATGCAGGGCTGACCATAGATGCAGATAAATTGTGTAGTTCCTCACAGCAACAAGCTACCACGGGTGATGAAATGGACCAAGCCAGGGTTGCTACCAACCTGGTAGTGGGGCCCTGGAAAAACAGGCTGGCTCCCTGCTGAAGCAAGAGTTACAACACGTGTGACTGCAGGTGTTGCTGGAGCTGGTGATGGCGGCTAACATCACCATCAGTCCTTGCCCTTTCTATCTTTCGAGCCAGTTTCCCTGCTTTCCACTCCAGTTCCCCCTCCAAACGCAGGAGGAACATCCGCATTCCAGCTAGGAAGGCACATTGTATGCAAGACATGTCATGCTCTTTCAGCAAAGATGTGCTAAAGGTGTTTGCCATTCTCTGACATCACACATTTCTGTGAGATAAAGCACAACACTAACTCTGTAATAACTGTTGGTTTATGTCTTTTTTTTTCCTTCTGCTTCCTTTCCCAGTTTATTTCTCCACTTGAAAAAGCAAGGAAGGAAGACTTGGCACAACTTTGTTCATATCAGTCAACGATATCAGTGTTCCTTTGTTGAACTCCGCTTTTTAATTCCCAGTGTCTTGGGATTTTTGCTTGTAATAACCCATAAGCATTCGGTGTGGTGTGTTTTGGAATTCTGTTGTTTCCACAAGAAACTGTACCAGCTAAATACTGCCAAGTAGTTCCATACACTGTCTTATCACTGTGTCTTAAAATGTGTATGCACTGACCTTCAGAAACTGTAGTATATGAAAAGCATCTTAAACATCTCCGAATCAGAGAATGCAGCTATGGGAAAGCTCCTGCTTAAAGGGACACTGTCAGGTGGATTGGACCCAAACCTAAGGTTACATCAAACTTTAGGGCCAAAATTCTCAAGATGAGCACCTAAAGTTGGTTGGCAAAATCCACTATCAGATGCAGCTTTTTGAGGTAGTGAGTATCTGCTACTCTCATTGCAGAGAGTGGTACCTACAAGTATTCATGTAAGACATCTTATTTCAACTTAGCCAACCAACCCAAGTCTAAAATCATTCCCTGCAGAAAATAAATAGGACCAGATCATCATCTTTTATGGATTTAAATGTTTCCTTATGGGGTGTTCTGTACAACCAGGATGGCCTCCATATGAAAGCCAGAAAGAAGACTGTATGACAACCAAAAAACCATGAGCTATCGTAATCTTGAAAAAGCCAAGTGAAATGCAAAAATGGTAATACAAGTGTCATAAATGTCCAAGATAGAGACTCTTGCTAAAAGCTCAAGGCACTGTTTGTCAGTCTTCATGGGACTCTCTTGAGTGCCAATCCCCAATATTTATGGCCCTAACTTAAAGCACATGATCAGCTTTGGTGATGTCTGTGGCTTCCCAGCACATTTGTAGGAAGCTATCTCTGCACCATTTTGCAAAAATAGTCCCCACTGTGAGGACCATTCAAAAATCAGGAAGAAGGAGGTATGGATAAATAGAGGGAACAGTGGAGAGCAGCCAAGAAAAGGATGGGCGCCTAGCAAAGCTTTCCTGGGGGAGAGGAAGGCAGAGAAACACTGTTCCAAATGGGTGGTGTTAATAGTCTTTCTAAAAATTTAATTTAATCTGTGTGTGTGTATAGTTCATAAACTATAGTGTTGTCTTTGTACAGTGCTCAGCTGAGATTTTCATACTCAATGAGTTTAAACTAACATTTGATGTAATTAATAGAAATTATATATTGCAGTTTGAAAGTTCTTGTATGCTGTTGTTGTAGGGTTTCTCCCAAATGTTGAATTCCTTGGTTTTTCTTTTTTTACACACTGAATAGTTTAATCATAGTTAACCAAACTAAAAATGAATTATCAAATTTTGAAATTCTGAAAGGGTCTTTTTAGGATAACTTCTTCAGAATTTCTAAGAAGAATTTGTAGAATAAAAAAAATAAATTGTTTGGGTTGTTCCTCCCCTCCCTGCAATTTAATTAGGGCATAGAAATGGTGATAATAGTAGTGTAAATATTCCCACTTTGTAGCATCTCTCTTGACATGGTCTTAGATTAAAAAAACAGAGACTGACACCAGTTCATTGCGGTAGATGTATATACAAATTGTGCTCAAGTAGAATTTTTCAAAGAGAATAAGTGGTGATCAGTTGAATGGTTCCAGTTGCATTTTTTTCTCCTATGTATTTATTACTTCATATTCACATGTACTGTTTCATATCATTAAGTAGTAAGGGACACAGTCTTAATGAAACTTAACTTTCAAAGTTACTGCTGTGCTACTGAGCTCCCTGGTATTCCCTGTTCACTTCAGTCCTTCTAGCTGAGTGAGTATATAAACAATTCGAAAATCCTCACGGCCCAGACAGAAAGCTTTGCTGTCATGAAGGGCCTGATTCCAGGAGGTGCCACAGCTGAATGCTATGTATAATTGAGCCTTCACTGGAAAAGGAATATGCTGTCTAACTTCAAGACCCTTTTTAAACTACTAAGATATTTGTCTAGCTGCTATGAAATAACTATCTCCTAAATGTGAGACCCTGCCACCCATACCCACGTTGAGCATGGCTTGATCCTCACAGGGCTTCTCTACGGGAGTGCTGAAAGGACTCATGAGTTGAAGACAGCTTTCACTGGAGGTGGTACATTCAGTAAGGTTATATGCTGATACAGATCCTTAATGTAGATGGTGCCTTCTGCTGTGAGAGTCTGATCTGACTACTTAGCTGATAGCTGCAAGTACACATCAAAGCGTTTGCATCCTTTAGCTACAAAGATGAAAAGTTTTTAAATGAAACTGCTGTAAGGATGCAAAGCGTACATTCTCCTAGCTAAAGTATCTCAAGCAAGTTAATAAAGTGGGAGCTTCAGGGGAGAGTGAGCTGCTGGTTGTGGAATGTGTACTCATTCTCCCTCAAAACAGTAACTAATGGGGATGACTGCTAAATGTTGGTGAGAATTTGCAAGGAAGAGTTTATTCAAGAAACCTAGCCTCCAGTGGGTTGTAAAATGTTTGTGGAGAGACAATTTCCTCCTGTGCACTAATGAAATATGCTAAATTAATGTGTTTAACTCTTTTAAGTTGTTTGCATTTAGAGTGCTCATGAATGCTCAACGTTTGCTAGTTGTGCTGTGCCGGTTGGTTGCAATCAGTCAGATAAGCCATGGAACATTTCTAATTCAGCCCAGGAAGCATGAACAAGTATGTCCTTCCCTGATGCACAGACCCACAGTCAAACTGCTCCTGCAGAGGGTTAATTCTTCTGCAAGGACAATATGGTAACGTAGGACTGTTCAGGGTCATAGATTATGCAACACCATCACCTATACGTAGACTGGTACAGAGGATGATCTATACAAACACAGTTGGAGACCTTATTTGTGTTGAAGCCAGGATTGATTGCTTTCCACTCGCTGCCTCTACATTTAAAATGTCCATGCAGTTACAACTGCCTACTTGTAATACTAAATTTCCCATGAAAAGGTTGATTCATTCTTGTTTAGTCAGCACTGATGAGCATTGCAATTACTGGGTAGAATTTCATCTGCTACTCTTCCTCTCTAACTCCTGCCTAGGCTTTTACCTTGGGCTGGTAAGAAAGCACAAAAGGATTTATTTTACTCCCTCCCAAGCAAACCCTCAGGGGTCTGCAAGGCTGATTGCTTTTTGACTGACATCTTGGGGACTGTGCTGAAGACATCTCTGGCTGGAAGCAAGGATTCTGATAGCTTTAGTCAGAGTTAGACATTGTTTGAGACTTGCATATTCTGTCCTTATAAGAAGTGCTTACTCTTCCTCTGATTTCTGTGCTACAGCTGTACAGCTAGGCTGCCTGCATGATATGCCTGCCATTCAGGAACAGCATAGCTGAAATGGGATGGTTAGGAGATGGTCTGTGCTTGTACCACAGGCGGCGTTTGGCTTGCCAGTGAGTGCACATCAGCTTCTGAGGTTGAAGAAGTGTTATTTGCATCCACTATGCACAAGCTAGTAAGGTTCTGCTTGGGCATTACATCTTTTTCCTTCTATGGAAATTCTGGAAAAATATGTAGAAATTCTGTATTCTACATCTTTTTTCCTAATCTATTTCCTGCTTGTAATAGCATAAATGTGGCTTTAAACCTAAAAAAGTTGTTACACAGAACTTGCAGGAGCAAGTAGCGTGGAAGCCCAAATGGGGCACTTGACCTGATTTTCACTTGACGACATTATGTAACAGCACAGTCAATCCAACATAGTCCAACATAATCCAATATTATTAGAAGGAGGAGGGGAGAATCTGATAAAGATTCTGAATGTAACCTAGGGTCTGTAAGACAAGAAGTGATTTAGAAATTTATTCAGTTCAATTTTTAAAGCTGCACCTTTAATTCTATTGGAACCTGCATGAGGTTAGCCCTGGGGACAGTTCAGGCAAGTAAAATACTTGGCTTTTTTCCTTTTAAATACTGATCTGCAGTAAGTGACTTAAACACAGTGATGGAGGAACAGGACAGTATTATCTGTGCAAGGAATGAATTACAACAGCCACAATTTGCTATGTTTTTGTCTGGGTAGCAAGACCTTTTGCAGTTCTCCTGTTTGTGTCTCATTTCTGTCACTGCTCCTCTGACAGGGCTTCACATTACTTTAACTTGATTAACAGCTGAACTATTTCTTGGCTGAATAAAATGCATTTGAGCTTTTAAAAGCAAGTTCATCACTTAACATCTGTGTTAGAGCATACCTGTAAAATGGTGATGTCTGCTTCTCAGAAGTGTATCTACCATGGGAGACTCAAACTTCAGGAACTTTTAGAATCTCAGATGTTGCTCAACTCTTTTTTCATGCTTTTACATAGTGAGTTTTTCTCTATTCCATGGGAAGTTATCCACCCAGTGGGAGTATGTATCGTCTATTATTTTTTTATGACAGCACATTGATCACACATGTTGGTGCTAGACCTTTGCAAAGAAACTAGAGAGCACTTGAGTGTGAATCAGGATTTAGATCTCAACCCTGCTTCTCCTGCCCTTTAAACAGGGATGACTGCTAAACCAGTAGCCACATAAGGCACTGGGCTCGCTCCCAAGGTACCCAGTGAGTATTGGATAAAGGCCTCAAAGAGACCAAATAGTCTTTGGTCTGGATTCGTGTCCTGACCTGAACTTTAGACCTGTGATAGATCGTAACCTTTGGGCCCCCTGTGTAGTCAGAAGAGTGAGATGCTCTTCCAGCCAGTTCTTCATCTGACCTGATGTAAGTCCCTGTTGGTAGACAAGATACATTTGAGCATGTGTTTCTTCATGCAAGAGAAAGCACAAGTACCCTCAAATTACCTTCTTTATAAGCAAAACCAAAAAGGCTAAAGAATGTAGTTTGAAAAAAATGAATAGTATCTAGAGAAATGATTGCCTGAAGATTTCTCAGATAGTGACATTATTTTCAGGATGGATACTAGATTGGGATGTATGGAACAATCAAACTAGAACCTTAGATCAATTGTTCATCTTCATCTGGTCTCCTTCAGAAACAGCTATTCCACTTCAAGAAAGGATTTTGTTTCCCTCTTTAGCTGATTACCCTTCCTTATTTCATTAATATGTTTCCATTGATGTGCTCAGTAGCTTTTTTCTCCATTGAGAACCAGAAGACTGTCTGCCTTTAAACACATGCATAGAAAGAGATCTGAGCCACCCAAGGAGTTTACCTTTCTTCCTGATGCACTGACATTTAAAAGCTACATCTTACAATAAAGCAGAAAAACTGTGGCAGTCTGGTTGCATGCAGTTTTGGTGGAGTAAACACTTGATTATTCAACAATGAGTCATTTCTGCAGTAACCTCATTCTGTCATGACTGTATCACATCTGCTAACTCTCCAAAGCAAAAATCATAACCTGTACTGGTTTAAACATGAATACAGCATCGTGGTTCATACGTAACACTCTATTCAACCAAAGAAGCCATGTGCTATAAGTTTAAAAGGGCAAAGTACTTGTTTTCAAAGAGAAAATATCATAGACAACAACAAAGGTAATTATGAAAAAAGCTTCTCCATCCTTTAGCTCTTCTCACAGTGTCTGACTTCTCCATTATTCTTCAAGTCTCTCTTCGTTCTCTTAGAAAGCCTTTGTGGTTTTGGAGTGTAGTGTATTTGGAACATAGCATATTGGGGCTGGAGTTGTTCTGCTGCCCTCTGACTCCCTGCCTTCTCCCATATTGTTATTGTTGACCTCAATCAGAGCTGAGGCAGGCCTGAGTGGAGCAGAACCTCTGCCCCATAACGCCCTGCTGTCCTCAAACCAGACTCCATTGATGGGATGAGAACACTGGAGGCAGAATATAGCTCCTGGATCTTAATTTGGTTCAGAATGATGTGAAACTAAAGAAGGCTCCTGACTGCTAGACAATAGGATTTTTGCTACACTACTTTAATTTTAATTTTAATTAAATGTGTTTAACATTTCCTCTAACAGTGATTTCATCAGTTTCAATGGAGAAGAGAGGAAACAGCAACTAATGTGATAAAGGCAAGATAGTAAATTGGGAAATAGTTTAAGTGAAATACAGCCAACTTTCAGCAAATTCCTTTTTATAGGTGGCTATACCTAAGAGCACCTTTTGTATGTTAAAACTAAGCAGTGCTAGTCTATTGAAGTGCATATAGATTATTACTTAAAATGAACTATGACAAATGGGAGTTGAATTTACTTTCACTTTTTTCTTGAAAACACAGGAGATATATGCAGAAAAGACGATCTAGTATTTTTTGCGAAGAGCACTATTTGGGGGTATACCATCCAAAGACATGCTGCTTGTTGTTCGCTGCAGAAGTGGTCAAGGATTTCAGTCAAATAAGGGCCAGAGTGCTTGGTGCAGTTAAGATACATACTGAATGCCCACTTTCTTGTATAGTGCTTTGGTTTGCCAGTAAGGAGGTCTTTTTGACACAGCATGATGATTTTTCTTACCCTTGTTCCACTCTACCATCTATGCTTGTCCGTCAAAAAATGGTCTAAGGAGAGGATGGAAAATCACGTTGCTGAATCCATTACATTCCTGTCATGTGTATGTGAACACGTGGTGGTGGTCTGAGCTTTTGTAATGAAAAGAGTTTAAAAGAATTAAGAGGTCTCAATATTCTAATCTATTCTTTGAAATTAGTTTCTCCCCCTGATAAGCTGCAGGTTTGTTTAAAGTACAAGTAAATAATGGCAGCTGCTGTTGTTTTCTTTGTAAGATCAATGTTTGAGATAGTGCATATAATGGAGCCACAAATTCACAGATGCACAATGTACGATTGTTTTCAGAAGTTCAGCTATTACTAGTTATAGTATTGACCTGAAAGGTTGCAACAATTTCTCCATTAGTCACGGTAGTGTTGACTGGACCTGAAAATTCAGTGATCAGTGTGGCTGCTGTGCTGCTAGCAAGCTATTCTAAATATGCAAGTTCAGCGTTTCATGAAACTTAAAGGGAAAAAAGATTCTGAATAAAAGTAGCAATGTATAGTAAAGGCCATGGGTATACAGTTTAACAATTAATTATTTAAGATTATTTACTATTTAAGTAATTAGCGGCTATAGAAGTAGCCAAATAATTAGCTTTCAAAGCCTACTTATTGATGAAAGAATATTTTTTTCTCATTAGAAATGCTAAGTTCAATCTACATTCCATTTCCTTTTTCCCTAGATTGGAAATAAAATAAAATGCTAATGTAGCTAAGACACTCTTGCAGGTCTGCACAATAAAGTGTTTACTGATAGCCCACTACTTGTCATGAAAAATATCATTACTTTGTCTTGTAAATGGAAAGTCCTCCCTCCTCTGACCACATACGTGGTAAAATATTAGTCACATTATGTATATCAGCACCACTGAAAGATTATAAATTAGTACCTCCTACTCAAGAGCGGGGCTTAAAAACATCCTTTGTCTGTTGCAAAAATACATTTTGAGGGGGAAACACCAACTGTTGTAGAGGTTAAATTTTTATTTGACAACTCCTATTCTTTTTTCCTCCCCCTTTCCGAAAGAAGTGCTTATATACGTAGGCAAGCATTTGCCGTTTGGGTGATACGTTCTCTTTCCAAGTATGAAAGAGATGAAACATAGCCAGTATCTACTGTGAGCAACCTTCAGTTTGTTTTGCAGCATAAAAAGTTCTTTTAGTGGTAATGTATGAACTCTTATTATAAACTTAGTTTAGTCATTGCAGGAAATGAGTTTGTAGCCAGCTAATTAGTATTTTCCTTAATGACTTATGCTTGAGTCTTAACACAGAAAAGCAGCCTCTGGAGGTGCTATCTAATCAGTTCAGCACTGTAGACTTAAAATGGACAGATGGTTGAGTATTTCACACTCTGGCCCAGAGTGAAGAATAAAGCATGTCCCGTTCTGGAACAACTTCAACATGTGCTTAAGCATATAGAGAATTTACATTCTCTGTTTAAGACAACAAACCCACCTCATTTGTCCTTACTAAATCCAGGCCTGATATAGAATCTGTGCCATGTTCTAATTCAGGGGAGGAGAAGCCTTTCCTTTGAATGACAGAAAAATTAGGTTGGAAAGGACTCCTGGGGTTTATCTAGTCCAATCTCCTGCTCAAAGCAGGGCCACCTTTGAGGTTGGATCAGGTTGCACAGGGTTTGTCTTGGTGAGTTTTGAAAATCTCCAAGGTTGGTGATTCTACAGCAAATTCTGCCCTTGGATATACCCTCTGCCCTACCAAGGTTGATAAAAGTGGAGTATGTACCTTCACAACTGTATGTGGTTTATGGTTTTGCCTTTTTTTTTTTTTTTTGCACATTGATTTGATTAGAGTCAAATTCAAATCTAGTGGGAGTAAGTGCAACCCCCATTTTTCAAAGAGCTTCCACTGACATCAAGAACTTTTCTTTCTTCCTCATTTACATGGGACTAAGCCAGATCAGATCATGCTGAGGATATGAGTGCATTCTCTCCCCTCTGCATAATGCGAAGCCTGCTCCTCTGAAGCTGAGGACAGGCATAGGATCAGATCCAGGACATCTGGTAAAGTCTAGTTCTGTACTGTCTGAGGTCCATCTCAAAACCTTGGTTGGCTACTAAGTTACTAGACTGGCATGAAAGAAAGAAGAGGATTTACTGTGATTACTATTTCTCCTCACAAGACACTTGAGCAATCCCACCACTCTTCCAAATGCAAAACAAAACCCTTTCTTCTACCTCTTCTCTTTTAATTCTTCACGCTTTACTTCCTCTAATAGGAATAACCAGAAATATGGTTTCAGTTGCCCTTTTAAAAACTAAACTCCAGATCACATATTTAATTGCATCCTTTGAAAGGCCACACAGTAGTGCTAAGCTATGTAGTAATGCACTCAAAGGATCTGAAAGTCTGTGCTGAGAACAGCATCTCTCACCTCATAGACTCAGCTGCGCTGAGCAAGAAATTGTGATTTGTGGCTCTACAGAAAACATTCGATTTGCATCTTATTAGAGCTACCTGGGGAGGAAAAATAATGTTGTGGAGACCAGGAAATTTCTTCAAGTGCTTTATCTGGAGGTCAGTGGAATTCATTTATAAATGATGAATGCATGCATTTTGATGCTAAAGTTGTGCTGACTTACAAAGTTTGATATTACTGTACTTTTCTGTGCACAGTGAGGTTTTTTTGAAGTGGTAAACATATTTTCCAGGAATATGGTAGACATTTGTAACATGTATGTTTGTGCCAATAAATCTTGTTTTAAGAAGTTGCTTTTTTTGTATCATTTCTGTTCCAAATACTCACAGTTTAAGAACAGTTAAGCGGCTTCAGCTTTCATTCTCTCCCTGTGTTAAGTGCTAAAGACTTCCGGAAATTAAGATTTTCTAATTCATACTGAGTTTTTATATATTAAGTCTAACAGAAAAGAAAAAAACCACTTCTGTTGTATAAACAATAATGAACTCTCTACAAATAGGGGGAGGGGAGAGAGCAGTACAGCTATTAAAGGATTGTGAAGAGGAGCAGATGGGAGAATGCCTTTAGTGCATTTGACCTTATTCTATATTTTCTTAATAGCAACACATTTTCCTTTTCACAGGGCACAGTTAACTCAGGGATCTCATTGCCACAAGATACTGCTAGTTCACAAACTTGGTGTACTTTGGACACATTTTTTGAGTGAAGAAAGAAGGATTCTCTGTGAGAGAGATACAGACTCCTGTGCAGGGTCATCTGCTGCCTTAACTGAAACAGCTGATGCTGACCACTAGTGCGATGGCTTAATGGGGCATGGTAGCTGTTGCCATCATTATTCCTAATGAGTATTAACAAGAGTTGGAAGCTCCTTTTCTCCCTCTCCTAGTGACTACACCTACATTTTAAAATCTGCACCTCTGTGCATATGGGGTGTTATTCAACAGCTCTTCTAATTTTGTTGCAAATCAACTCAGCACATATAAAGGACACGGTGTTGTCTCTCCCCAGCCAAACACACCAAAACCAGGTAATGTCAAGATGCCTTCTTGTATGACAGTGCTTTATTAGTAAACTGTAGATTTTTCCTTGGTAACTCAGCACATCTGGGGGTGCTTTGAGTCCATAAGGAAGAGCTGGGAAAAAAGCAATTGCTGTTTTCATACAGCACATATTCTGGTTTATGTGAAACAGCAAATAAGGACCGAGAGGTTGATTGGTGCATATGAATGTGATACTGAAGAACACAAGAAACTGGTGGAAGCCAAGGTGAGGCTTATTAACAATTAAGAGAGCACAATGGGCTACCATTCCATTAGCGCTCTTATAGTCAGGTTGCATAATTAGCTTGGTTTTGTTGAAACAAAATGTTCCAATTTCTGACTTTTGAGCTTACAAAAAATTATAGCAAATGATAAAACCAAGTGAAAATGAAATTGTATGTAATGGAGAAATGAGGTGGGTATGGTAGAATCAGTAAGATTATATGAAAAATCTAATGTATTTCTGCATGCTGTTCAGGTAGCAGATTTGCATAATTCATGGAAGTTCAGGGAGCAAAAGGAAGGACTGCTTTTTAGGGGTTACTAAGTTATGTGGGGTGAAGAGCTCTGAGACTTTCATATGCTTTGGAAAGTCAATAGAAGATAGCTCAAAGACAAAACAATTCTTGAAGTGACCATCTATATACTTTGTTTTGTGAAATGAACTACACAGAGGTAAGTGAATAAGCTGCTTTTAAGTGCTCCTGACAGATCTAAAATTTTTTTTTTAATGTCTCATATGACTAGAGATGGTCAGAAAAGCAGGTAATCCTGAGACTGCTAGAGTTCTATATGAGAGAGAGCTAGGCAGGGATGATGACTATTACAAAACTAAACCATCTTTTTTTGCTTTCCCAGGTGTTTCCAATCTAAGGGAACATAACCTTGTAACACCACTTGTGGTTTGGGCAGCTATCATCAAAAGCTCTTACCGTGATGTGGTAGACATTAAATACATTTTACTATGGGAATTTCCTGGTAGCACGTGCACTGAGTTACTACACTTTTAAGGCAGCTTTTAGAATGATTCTGCCGAAATAACACTATTTCCTGCCCCCCTTAGCATCTGAACAATCTACAATTTAACAGCTGTTAGGTGAACTGGTTTACAAATGCAAGCAAACTTGTTTTTTCTACCTTCTGTTGGCCATAATGCAGCTTTGCTCTGTAGAATGTAGTCAGTGGATTTCATAAATAAACTTCTAGTACTTATCTAATAACTGGCAGGTTGTTCTTTTTACTAGATGATGTACAATACATCATCATGTTATTTACATATTCTCTGGGTTAGCCTAGAAAACACCTGCCTCATAGTCCAGCTCCAGCAGGAGCTTGCAATGCCATACAGTGCATGCCTCTCTGATATAATCTGTAGTAAGCCGTAACGACAGTGCACTGAAAAAGCTGCATAGATCAGCAGTGTCACCAGCATCATATCACCCTGCACCAACCCAGGCTTTGTTAAACTTCCTAATAATCAAAGAAAGCTATGGAGGAGAGAAAACCCAAATTTTTCCTTAGTCTTTGTCAAATGATCAGGGGAGTGGGGGTGAGCTCAAAATCCAGCAAGTTTGTTTAACTGTGAATAGAATGCTGAAAGCAAGCATCTGAAACTGTAATGTCACAAGGAACACTGGGGTTCGTAGTGCTTGAGGAGCTGGGAAAGTAAACCGGTTTTATACAGCTTTCTAGACAAAGGAAGCCTTGAAATATGGGGTCATTAGAATGCACATATTGCACTGGTAAAGAACAGTTCCACCTCCTTTCAAACCACTTTTGAGTTCCAGTGACAAGGTTCAATCTCTTTTATCACCAGGAACTGTCTGAATTAGTTTTTGCCGTCCTTCCACCTGCTTATCAGGCACCATTTGATAACCACATGCACTCTTGGCCCCCGTCAGTCCTCTAGAAAGTTCTATCTGAACATCATTCCTGAGCTGGCTAGAAAACTCTTTCTAATATCCTGGTTACTATCTGAGAACAATGTATAGTTCTTACTCTTTTGTTTGCTATTTTTCTTCAATTTGACTAGCCCATGTCCTCCTTAATCATCCTGACAGTCCACCTCTGCTCAGTTGCCATTTCTGTCACTTATGATCAGAGCAGCAGTCAGTGCTCTGGTCCAAGTAAAGGTTTGCCAAATGCTGTGGCACAAACATTTCTTTGTATTAAAGATATCTGAAACATCCTACTACCATATTAGCATTTCTCACAACTGCTTTTACCCTCCCACCCCTATGGCAGTCATCCTAATCACCCTGTGTTGCACCTGTGGCACTTTTAAAATCTCTGTCTCTTACCTCTGTAGTTTAGCACCAACAAAATTATCCTTGGTGAAACAGTAGTAAGCAATATCCTCAAGGATGAATTTGATCCAAATTCTCCTGCCTCTACCACCAAAACAAATCCTGTTGATGTCTCCAGTGCCTAGCCAGGTGATAGCTAGGCAGCCTGAGACACTGCCTATGGCATGCAATCAACTAATAATTTCATTTCAGTCTTTTGTTTCACTCAAAAGTCTCAAAGTTTAAGTGATTACTTTTTTTCCCTGAGGTGTTAACATAGCAAAAGTAAAATCCTTGCTTACTGCACTCACCAGCTTAACCATTTAACAACTCAGACATCTCTGTTCTCTTTGAACACAAATGCCAGTTGCAAATGCTATTATTTTTGAGATGCCAAGGGTTGGCAGCTAGATGGAAAAAACACAGTAGCAGTCTTTGTTGATGAGAAAAGGCATCTCTAGGGAGCTATAGTCAAAAGCAGAGTCTACAAGGTCTGTCTAATCTAGATGAAGAGCCAGCCCACATGTTCTTCTGCAGCTGAGCTTAGGACTTGAAGCCCGATGGACTGAGAAAACCAAGCTGGCTGTATAAGCAGTATTGCCATATTTCAGTGGTGCTGTGTCCGTTATGACCCTCCCTTGTCTATATGTAGACATCATCTCTCATGTAGGATACTGAAGTATCATCTGATGCCATTAAGACAATGATGTCTTACAGATACCCTTGTATCTGGATTGTATTTAAAAATTGTCTTTTGGGAAGTTAGCTGGTTAATATATGATGAAGTGCAGTGTGAATGCTTCTTCAGCCTTGTATAGCTGCGCAATCCATCATACTTACATGATGCATGTCTGAAAAAACAAAGAAGCGAAAAGGCACATAGTCTTTAAAAGAGAGCCCTTCAGCATATAACTTCTCTGCTCCTATTTGACCCAGATATGAGGGAGGAATCAAACCTCAACCCGCTCAAACTAGCTTCTATTCCTGATTGTTTTCTCTTTGCAGACCAAAGTAGAATCTGTGAGAGCTTCTGGTAGAGATTAGCAGAACCTCTCACCGCTCCTTAAAACGTGTTTAACAAGAGAGGGCACATCACTAAGTAAAAAGACATCTTGCTTTTAACACTGCCTTAATGGAGGACAAGGGGAGCAGGAAAAGACACGTTTTCTGGTTTTAGCTGGCTGGCAGTGCAGCTGCCTGCCTGCTGCAGCACCCCAAAGTGAGTGTGTGCGGGGAGGCATCTGGCCAGCCAAGCCGTGACCACCCCCGTGGGGCACAGCCTGGGGAATGTCAAACAGTGGCAGCCGATGCAGGTGGCAACGCCCCGTGACAGCATGGGCACTGTCAGTCACCGCTTATCATTCTAGTGAATTTACTTCACAAATGATGCCAACATAGACTGACAGTGTCAGACTTGATCTCAAATGCAAAGCAAATTGGGTCACAATTTGTCTGTATGGGATTAAACAGCATTGTCCATCTCTTGGGTTAGCCATTCTGCTGTAACTGGCATTCATTTTAACAGTTTTTCCAACCTCTTCTTCATCTCCTGTACATCAGTTACTTCAGCCTAGGCTTCAAATTTTTCAACCATTCTCAAGCTTAATGGCATTTTCCTTTGTGATTTTGACATTATCTCATTCTCCCTCTTTGCTTCATCCCACCTGTTTTCTGTTTCATGGTGCTGAGTGAAATATTTTTCTCCCTCTTGTCTACAAGAACTATTCATTCTCAAGTAATTTCATTTAATTCTTATGTTCCCCACTTTCTCTACAGAAAAAAAGAAATCAGAAGATTTGTGTCTAGCCACAAAAATAGCCCCAAAGCACACTTTGACTAAGCCATCGAAGTCTTTGTATTCTCCTGATGCTTCCAGGGCTGCCTCCTACACACTGGCATTCTCTGGTTTGGCGCGGCTCAGGGTGACTGATTATGTGGTCTCATTTGCCTGTAATAAACTCT